GGGGCGGGGGGCCCCCGCGCCTCTGAGGCTTTGCCACAGCAAACCTCCCGGTGTCCCTGGTCTGCTGGAGACAGTCCCCAGCAGACCAGGGACACCGGGAGCAAAGCCTCAGAGGCGCGGGACCCCTCCACCTCCCCGGCTTTGCTCCAGGTGTCCCTGGTCTGCTGGAGACGGTCCCCAGCAGACCAGGGACACCGGGAGCAGCTTTTCTCGCCCCGGAGGTCGAGGTGGCGGGACCGCTGCGCTCTGGGCGGTCCCGCTGCCTGCGAGCTCCGGGGCGAGAAAGCCCCGTTCGTAAGTGCGGATCTGACATAAGTCAGATCCGCGTAACTCGGGGACTGCCTGTATACAACTTTCGCTTAGCTTATTTTTCCTTAAAACTATCCAGGACAGTAAAGAGAGCGAGCAAGTCTTCCCGGAGGTCGAGGTGGCGGGACCGCTGCGCTCTGGGCGGTCCCGCTGCCTGCGAGCTCCGGGGCGAGAAAGCCCCGTTCGTAAGTGCGGATCTGACATAAGTCAGATCCGCGTAACTCGGGGACTGCCTGTATACAACTTTCGCTTAGCTTATTTTTCCTTAAAACTATCCAGGACAGTAAAGAGAGCGAGCAAGTCTTGCCAAGAACAGTGTGGAGGACCTTTGCATATTTGTTACTTTTTTTGTCTAAATCTACACGAGCTGCCTTAAGTCATTTTTCAAGGGGTGCAGACTTCAGAGAGCACTTTTGCACCTACAGTTGGTCTCCCCACAAAGCTCCTGATGACCAGCTGGCTTTCTGATCATCTTCCTTACCAGTTCACTGCTCACAGAGTGGCATTATTTCAAGCTGGGAGACTTTTGTGTGAGTGGATTGCAGGGATCAGATTCCATGCATGTGGCTCAGCAATTTACTCCGATGCTTCACCTGTTGGCAGTTGGGTAGGATTCAAGAGTTGGAATAATGAAAAACGGACTGACCATTGGCACATTTTCTTCCTTCTCAGATACAGCCATATGTGAATGGAGCGCTGTACAGCATTCTTGCTATCCCTTCTATACGAGAAGAAGCCAGAGCAATGGTAAGGAACATCAGACTATACAAAGAAAAGAAATCAGAAGAAGCTGATTGAGTAAGGAAGAACATATCTGCATAGTCGCTTTTCTGACAACCGTACCTCAAACCAGGCTGTGATTATTCCAGAGTAAACCTAAATTTAATGTAAATGATTATTTGGAGTTCTCATTTTGCTTCCGCACCCCCTGCCTCCCCTTCCCATATGTAATTTCATTAAAGTAGCTGTTAAATTTTCCAGTTCTTTGGGCTGTCATGGAGTGTGTCATTTTATTTTGGGGAGATATTGAGCCACTTTCCACCTTGATGTAAATGGGTTTGATGTGACTGAAGTCAGTGGCCTTGCATCCAGTTACGTCAAGGCTGAGTTTGGATCATTGTTTCCTATTGACTGCTGCAAATACAAATCTATGTTGTATTCCATCCGTTACAAAATGGTTGGTGGGAAATTGTAGTCAAAATGAAACTGCTGGATATTCTGCAAGAGGAATTTGCCATCTCTGTAGCAGGTGATGGCGAAGGAATTGAGGTGATGAATGGTCTCCTGCAGAGCCGTTACTATCTGTTGGAGAAGATAACAATGCCCCATCGCAAGCCAACAGCCAGAGGCTTGTGTCTGGTCTAATTTATACTGGCTCACATTGTCTGCTTTATTATGTGGAATCAATTCAAATGTAAACCTGGACAGCATGTCTCCTTTCCTGCCATTCTTATCATACAAAGTCTATTCAAAAGGTATCTCAGAAGTCTCAGTTGTCTGCTTTTTCGTGGTTTCAATGGTTGGATTAAAAATAGCTGTTCATTGTCTGCTCTTCCAGCATCCGCCAGGGAAGGTGATACTGCATTAAATAATAGTGACAGTAATTAGGAGGAGAGGCTGCATAGTTGCATCTGCCAGGTTCCTGAGGAATAGTCTGTCCTGGTGATCTATTGTAGAGGACAACTTGGGGTTGATTTTTTTCAGACTCAGTTGGAGTTGGGCACTCAACTGCTTTTTGTGCCGTTGAGGAGGGTACAGGGACTTGGTTTCAAGGGTTTTGGCAAAGTTAGGATTGAAAGGTATTACTTGAGAACTTGTTAACGAACACAATCCTAAAATGATGTTTGAAAAATCAAATGTAGACAATGCAGTATAGATTTTAACATATGCCAAGATGATCATGTTAACTCCTAGGCACGTTGCCTCCAGACTTTACCTTGACAGGTTTTGCTGGCATGGAAGGCAGACTTTTCAAATGTTAGGTTTTGTCTTCATGTACGGTGCTAATGGTGCACCTCTTGTAGCACTTCCGTGAAGATACTACTACCCTGAGGGGACAGCTTCTCCCATCTGCATGGTAGCTATGTTATCTGGAGAAGCTCTTCTGTTGTGCTGTCTGTAGGGGATTAGGTTGATATAACGGTATCACACAGAGGCGTGTGGATTTTACACGTCCTGGATGACATAGCTCTGAGGGCAGGTGGACTGTGTGAGTGCAGTAATAGAGGAAAGAAACCAGGGATGGAGTCTCTGATGGCAACAGAAAGCTGGTAGGAAGGAGCTGAGCCACTTTCTTTCCTAATTACCAGTTTATGGCCTTCTCTCTCTTTGCATCCATAATTTGCAGGTCTAATGATTTCATTTAGGTGCCTTTTCCTTGTCCTATCTGTGAGCCGCTATCCAGCATACAGAGTGGGATGTTGATATGACTTTAAAGTATTACAGGCACAAAACAGAGCCCACAATTGCAACAAGAGATGAACCAGAAGGAAAGGATAAAAATCAGGCCCACCTCATCTTTTCATGCTGTTTCCTTACTGAGTAATATTTGTAACGAGCCAGTTATGTTCTGAGTTTTGAAAGCAGAGGAGTAGCTCCTGTAGAAATCTGTTAACGTTGCATGTTCTGGTGGCTTCTGTGTTCAAGTGTGATACCACGTTACCTTAATCTCTGGCAGTTAATGGACAGAATGGAATATTTATAACTGTACGCAGCAGTTTCCCTGTACAGGCAGTCCCCGGGTTACGTACAAGATAGGGACTGTAGGTTTGTTCTTAAGTTGAATCTGTATGTAAGTCGGAACTGGCGTCCAGATTCAGCCGCTGCTGAAACTGATCAGTCTGGACACCAGTTCCGACTTACATACAGATTCAACTTAAGAACAAACCTACAGTCCCTATCTTGTACGTAACCCGGGGACTGCCTGTACAGATACTGGGCAAGAACTTAGTCACGCTGTACTCTGAGATTGCTGGTAATTGGCAAGAGAATCTGCATTCAAAGAAGAGAACCAAGAATGGAAGGGAAAAGCGGTTTCACAGTTTGTGGCATTCTTAGGAGGAGTTTGCTAACAGCTGTGTTACACAATACCCTGAGAATGAGTGTTTTACACAGTCCCTGGTCTCCAAGTCGCTGCTTGCAACTATAGAGATGTGGAAACCACCATTGCTTTTGCCATTGTTGCGAGGGGATTGCAAATACTGAATACACCCACAAAAGTGCACATGGTAGCAAGACTTTCAAGCCAACAGGCAGGTAGGAGAGATGGTTAGTAATGTGGCAAGCCCACATTAGTCACTAGAAGCAGCCGGGGAGCTGCGTGAGGCCCACTGCTGAATGTGCTATCCAGCGGCAAAGGGCAATACTCAGCCATTATGGTCTCTCAGACGGCTTGATAAGTGACAATGAACCCATATATAACGCACAAGTTCATTCTTTTACAGACATGAATGGAGAGCATCACGTCAAGTCAGCACCGTTCCATCCAGCCTCTGAGAGACTTGCCACCTTACCATTTTCTAGTCAACTAACAGATTTTAAGAACAGACAGGACCATAATGATCACCTAGGCTGACCTCCTGTGCAATCCAGGCCAGATACCGTTATTCACATAGGCTGTGTCTACACTGGCATGAATTTCCGGAACTGCTTAAAACAGAATACTATTCCGTTTTCAGTTTTTCCGGAAAAGGAGTGTCTACATTGGCAGGCTGCTTTTCCAGATTCTTTTTCCAGCAAAACAATGATTTTAGCTAGTGAAATGACCTATGCTGGGTTAGTCTCATGAAACACTAACCCAGTGATGTTTTCCAATATATCCAGGGAATGGAAGAAATTCTGCGGTGCTTCATCAAGGAAGGAAATGCTGAGATGATCCGGCAAATTGAATTCATTATCAAGCAGCTTAATTCAGGTCAGGGGAACAGATGCAGCTATTAACTGGGCTATAAATCTTTCACAAAGGCCATAAAAAAGCTCATGTTTTTGAGAGACATTGGAATTTACAAAGAATGATAACGGTGTAATGGACTGAGAGTGCTCAAATAGGGAACATCAGGATTTCAGTGTCAAATGTGTTTTAAAATTTCCTTTATATTTCAAAAACAAACATTGGGGCCTAAATTCCAAAGCTTTCTGACCTTGTGCAGCATGATGGTTATGTTGGGGCATTGTCCTCCTGGACGCAAAGGTACAATGCTTGAATCAGCTGGCAATTTAATTGTAGCACAGTAGAGTGGCACAGGGGAGGTCAGTCTTGTTCTTCTCTTGTTTATATATGGGGAAGGACAGGAAGCTCTTGGTATCTGTGATCTCTCCTTACCCAAATCCAACCAAAGTGGAATTGACAAGTTACGTTCAGCCTTTGTGGCTGGGGGGAAGTGGTTGGAGAGAGAAGCTATCAAGACAGCAAACCAGGGTGAATTCAGGAGGCTTCCTCCTGCTCACTAAAAACAATTCTAATTGAGTTGCTTTCTTGTATTTTGTAAAAGAATAGAGGCACTGATGAATCTTCTAGTAGTGGGCTATGTCTGCACTAGCACTTTTGTCGGTATAACTTGTATAACTCGAAGGTGTGGGGAAAAGCCACCTTTCTGAGCAATATATGTTACACCAACCGAGTGGACAACGCTATCTCGGGGGGAGACGCTCTCCTGCTGGCATAGCTACCGCTGCTCATTGGGGTGGTTTAATAATGTTGACAGGAGAGCTCCGCCTTAGGACAACAGCGCGGTTCTCTCGTGTCGACATAGCCACAATGAGGAAAAGAACAAATAGAATGTCATGCAGTCTGTGTTTGACTAAGGTATTGGCGATAGAGAATATTCACATCCTACATCCATCAAGCATATGCCAAGGTTTTGCTGCAGTGTTTGTGAAAATGGGATTTTTTTGAAAGGGAACATATGACTGTTAGGCAAAATTTCTGAGCACTAGCGGCGAGGAGTCCTGTGGCACCTTATAGATTAACTGAAGTGTAGGAGCATAAGCTTTCGTGGGCAAAGACCCACTTCGTCAGATGCATGTAGTGGAAATTTCCAGAGGCAGGTATAAATATGCAGGCCAGAATCAGGCTGGAGATGACGAGGTGGATCCAATCAAGGAGGATGAGGCCCACTTCTAGTAGCTGATCTGGAGGTGTGAATTCCTAATGAGGTGATCTCCGGTGCAGGAAGTGAAGATGTGACTTGAGTCTTTCTGCTTCTGCTTTCTTCAGAGAATCCAGTGATTTTTGGTGATTCTAAAAACGTTGCTGTCCTCAAAATACTAGCCCAAAGTTCAAGAGATGCCGTACAAAGAACTAGCATAAATATTGTCAACCTCAATTTTTCAGCATGGAGGGTTAATATCTAAAATTTCTGATGGGATAGACACAGGCTAATTCACTTTTGTTCACTTATACTGATATTTTTTGTGTATTTCTTTCTAGAAGAGCCATTGGATGATAGTGTTGAATCTGATGATGAAGAGGAGGATGAAGATGATGAAGTAAGTGTAAAGGGGTGCTAAGATCTCATGGGAAACTGATGAACATTTTGTTCATGAACAGTTTTGGTGATTGTGGCAACTTTTATTTCTTCTTTTGTAGGGGGTGTTTTAAATGTCATTACCAAAGATATTTGCATGAAAAGAGGATCTGTGCTCCTGCTGTTTATTCCTCATTTGAAGCCCTATTCCTTTTCTTATGGAATCCTAATTATTATAATAATAAACGATGATATAACAAAGGGTTTCAGTTTTAAGTAAGGAATAAGCAGAAATGCTCTTATATCAATAGAGATCCTGTTTTCATGCAAATGTCCTTTTGTAATTAGAAACCTGGGATGCAAATGAACACAAACATGTTTAACAAGTTTCTTTCAAGCATCATCAGCTGCTTGAAGGTGTAGCTTCTTATTTTGAAAATGTAAGATCTATTTGAATTAACTCTGTTAATGTAAAATTAGCAAACCAGTAAATAGAAAGGTGGTTCTTGATTTGGAAAATTACCACAGTCCCCTTACAAAGTTGAGTCAGAATTGTGAAGAAAATGTGCAGATAGCCTGCAATTTGGGTAGATAAGAACTACTCAGCTGTGCATTTCAAGATCTGCTAACTTAAGCATGGTCTTTGCTAGTGTTAAAAAAACAGCAAATGATCCGGTAGCACTTTATAGACTAACAAAACATGTAGACGGTAGCATCATTTTTAGTCTGTAAAGTGCTACCAGACCATTTGTTGTTTTTTTTCTGTAACAGACTAACTCAGCTACCCCCTGAAGCTTTTGCTAGTGTTGTTCAGAAAATCTCCTACACAGCAGTAGGAGGAACTTTAATTTAGACAACATGTAGACTATTTAACCATTTGATTACTAGCAAGCTGAATATGTGGCGTGGCGATAAAAATGCTTTTGCTCTGTCCAAATTAGCACATCTGTCATTGCAACATCTATGCAAGTGCAACAGTAGAAAATATCTTGGAAAAATACTGTAGACAGCCAGAGTGGAGTTCCTCCAGATAGCACTCTCATTGCATAAAAAGTGCCGCATGAGCAATTTGAAGTGACAGCTGGAAGCTATGAACGTGCAGGGTTATAAGCATATAGTATAATAGCTGAGTGTGTGTATATACCTAGGCACCAACTCCATGAATGCTCCAGAGCTAGAACATTGAAAAATGAATAGATGCTTAGCACCCTCCGGCAGCCAGTGCTTCCCCTCTCCCTCAGCACCTCTTGCCTCCTGGCCACAGATCAACTCCTTCCCCTCCCTCCCAGTGCCTCCTGCCCATTGTGAACAACTTTTTTGCTGTGTTGAGGAGGCACTGGGGAGAGGGAGGAGTGGGAAGAGGCAGAGCATGGATGAGAAGAGGTGGGGTGAGGGCTTGGGGAGGGGGCTGTAGTGGGAGCTGGGCCTGGGGCTCCCACCTCTTCCCTTACCCCTCCACTACAGGGAAGGGCAGAGCCTATGAATATGTATGTGTATGTATAGTATGTGTTCTAAAATGACCTTTGGCATTGATAGCTGACAATCATGGTTTGTCTTGCTTTATAAATCACTTTGTACTATGAAAATTCCTGGAGAATAGCTAGTGTCAGATTAGCCCAAACTTCACCATATGGACAACATCTATATGATTCAAACCAGCAAATAGTAAGAAATGCAAAGTTCAGCATGCTTGTCCTGTATTCACTAGCTCCAGACAGATGTTATCCCTCAAGTCATGCAGACGCTGGGCTAACTTCAAGGTACTCCTGTTGTTCTCTGCTACAGTAGCTGTGCTTAATCGTATAAAAGCTTCAGAGGGGTAGCAGAGTTAGTCTGTAACTAGAAATCCTTAAAAAACAACGACTGGTCTAGCAGCACCTTAAAGACTAACAAAACATGTAGATGCTGGTGAAGTGGGTTGTCCCACGAAAGCTCACGATTCCATCTACATGAATTGTTAGTCTTTAAGGTGTGCTAGACCCTTCCTTGTTTCTTAATTTTATAGTTACAGCACTTGAGCAGAGCTGCTATTTTATTTTTAAATGAGAAGAAATTACCAACTTGTTTGTAAATGCTTTGTGTTAGGGTGTAAAGTGCATTATAGAAAAACTAAATCGTATAGAACTTAAAGGAGAAAACAGACACGAGAGCCTTGGGGTGCAGTCTGTGTCCCTTTTACTCTACAGCAGTGTCCCCTGTAACCTCAGCGCTTAGGTGGCTGTCCAGGAGAGATTCAGGTGCTGCCCAGCTGATTGATAGAGCAACCACAGCTACCCACAGCCGGCAGCATGTGTTTCTATTGATGGTGTACATCTGCACATGCCTCGGTGCACATAACAAACATTATTTCACACATGGATGGAAAAAATTAAGGGGATCATTGCTGTCCAGCCTGGGCTGTCTCTCATAATGTTTTGCTAATGACAAGCAGAAAATCCCTAGATTGCATGAATGTTTCCAGAGCCACTCATGAATCGCACAGAAAGGGGCACCAGCCAGATCCCCTCCCCCCAGTTCCCAGCACTGTACCTCAGGAATATACTGTCTTCTGCTGCTGAAGGAGAGCGGGGCAAATGTATTAATTTATAGGCAGGATACGTGTGGTAGTGTTGTGCACAGGGACAGGATGTGTGAGTAGGTTCTGGTGGCACAACAGGGTGTGGGGAGGACTGGGTGTGGCATTGTGGGCAGGGGCAGAGGGTGTGGAGGTGGTGCTGTGTGCAGGGGCTGTGTGTGTGGTGGTGATGTGTGCAGGGGCAGAGTATGTGCTGTTGCTGTGTGTAGGGGCAAGGGGCTGTCGTATCCACCCCACTGGATAACGCAATTCATAGGACAGATTTCACCCTTGAAATTTGGGCCAGTCTCCTCCATTGGAGTCTTCAATCTTCTGAATGTCCTTGTGGCTTGCAGCATAGGTGAGGGAGGGAGAAAGGCCAGCAAGGAAACTCCTTTTCTCTGTTTCATACCCTCTGTCCCCTGTGCTTGGAGGCCATAAGTCCAGGCGTGTTTGGTGGGCACTCTTGAGTCATAAGGCAAGACTGAACAATTCCCAGTTATGGCCTTGTGCAAGCAGCCCCCTTGCAGAACAATGGCTATTAATGGTTGGTTGATACCTGCCCTTGTTCTTGGCGATCTAATGTCTGGTCAATTTCCCAGCTCACAGTGTATTTTAGTGGCAACCATACAACTCGTTCTCCTCTCCAATATATTTGAGAGAGTTTGTCTGTGAGCAAGGAAGTGAGTCTGTCCCTCCTAAATGGTAAGAGCTAGGACACCAAGTTGGGTATGCAGCTTCCTCTTAGCCTAACTTAAAAGGGCTGTGTAAGGCCAAGTGAGGGTTTGGTTGTGTCCACGATGCATGTAGGGACACAAAACTGTACAGAAAAGAGACAATCAACTGGCAGGTGAAATGGGCTCCCTGCTTGGGTCTGTCCCAGCCCTGAGTCTCTCATTCTCCAGCCACCCTTTAGGGAGGGTCTTCAGCTTCCATTCTCCTTTTGGAAGGGAACATTGCCAGCTGTTCCCCTTTTGTCAGGGGGAGGGGAAAGTGAACAGTTTGCTCCATTCCTCAGTCTGGCTGGGGAGCACACAGATGAACCTGGACCTTCCCCAGCCAGAGAACGTGCACCCCTCTTCTGGCTGTGCCCGCTAGAGCTGCCATAGGGAAGTGCTTCTGATCTGGCCCCACCCCGAGGCAGCCTGCATCCTGAACCCTCCTTCCCAGCCCCACCCCAGAGCAATGATTTCAATGAACAAAACAATTGAGTTAAGGACCTGAGCAACACCAGGTAGATCGTCTAGTAACTTCATATGCGTTAATGATACGTGTACTTAGATGGAACAGTGGGTTCCAGCCGATCATTTCTCCTAATGCCTCACATAGCATGCTTTATATGGACACTCCCCCAAATACAGAATGTCACAGGCACTGTATAGAAACAGAGGGAAAAGACGGCCCTGGCCCCTATTTGATTCATTGTGAAGTTAGAGGACCATTGCAAAGATCCCAGTCGGGTGAAGGATTAGGCACCCTCAGTTGCTATTGACCTCAGCACCTCACAGCATCTGACCTTGGCGTAGCATTATCTTCCGTGGTTGGATAATTCGGAAGCAGTTGCGATTTCTGGTAGCCAAAGACTATATGTTGGATCATGACAAGAACATGTCCCCTGATAGTAGATTGAATCCAGCAAACTGATTCCACCTTTGACCTTCCCTACATTTGAACCTTCATTTGCAAAAATGTTCATTAATACTCTCAGCTGTCTTGCCCCTAGGTGGTGCAAAGAACTGAGTGATTCTGGAATGAAGTTATTATAACTGCTGCATTTCCAGTTATCTTGAAGTACAGGAAATTCTCGCCATTTGTGGCAGATGCATTCCCGTGGGGGCTGGGAACCGCGGGGCACTCACTGTGGTTCCTGGCAGCTGCAGGGAGTTCCTCCCAGCTCCTGCCACCATCCCCTCTGACAGGACAGGAGACCCTTATAGCAATAGATGTGGCACATCCTGGGTATTCCAGGAGCTCATCTTTATGACCTCTCATTGCAATCCACGTCGTTTGCTTTCAAAAGACCTTATGAGGGGTGCAGATATTGCTAGCAGTGAAGGTCTGTAACAGTGATTGCCTTACATCCACTGTGAGAGCACAGGATGTTGAAATCTTCCATTGGTCTCTGGCTTTTTTGTTTCTGAGAGGTACTTTGACATGGCTTTGGTCCATTGAGATGGAGAGTGATGCAGAAACCACTTCAAGAAAGGTGTGGTCCGAATTTCATCAATGTTGAGCACTCTGTTCTTCAGGGGTCATATGCAGGAGTAAAAGGGGAGTTAATTCTCCATGTCCTGTTCCATCTTTGTAGCCATGGAATGTTGAAACAGTTAAATGTCTGAATTTTTGTGGTACATAAAATCTTCCTTTATATAAAAGAAAAACCTCCCAAGACCCCTTTTTAAAAACTTGTGTCCACTTTAAGGTCAATGCTTAAGTGTAAATGCTAAGTCTTTATTTCCAGGGGTTTA